TAGAATTTCCCTTAAACTAGAACAACCCATATCCTTAACTATTTGCGAACAGTAATCTAATCTAGGTCTACCCCTACTTCCCTTTACTCCTGTTCCTGCCTGTAATATGTGTCTGACTAGGCCTTCATGTCTGAGAAAGTGTCCTACCAACCTATCTCACTTCCATTGAGTCCTCTGTTCTCCTATTATTTCTAATACCTCTTCAATTCTAACCTTCTCTATCCACGGTATCCTCATCATTCGCCTGTAACACCACATTTCGAACCCTTTTAACCATTTATTTTCCGCCGCACCCACCGTCCATGTTTCGCACCCGCACAGCGCCGCTCTCCAAGCATACAGCATAATTTCTAAATTAACCGAGCCAATACGTAAACATTATATATTTCTTCCGAATGTAGTCCCTATACTTGTTGAATACACCTTGTATCTTTACTTTGTATGTGATTTCTTTTCCCAGTTTTCAGAATAAATGGTATTCACTCGTCGCCGGTGGTCAAATTGAAATAAATAGTAGCAGATGTTGTTTACCAAACTGTATCTATAAATAACGCAAAACTGGAGTTATTCACCCTAAATAGGAAATAAAAAAGTTTTTCGGTTATTTCCACTTCTCATTTTAAAAATTACGCTTCTACCTCTCTTCAATACAAGAAATTACCGTCCAACTCCTCAATTAGTCCAACGAACATTTCTCAAGTTTTCGGGAAGTTAGGTATTTACTTTATTTTATTTAATAGGTTTCTTGGAGAAAAAGTTGGAATCATTACCTAATTAGTGCCCTACTTAAGTGTTTGAACTTTGACTCTAATAAGTGTCACGAAAACTTCTTCATTCGTAAAACCCTCTCTGGCATCTTTCTCTTATTTATGAATTTTCTCCTTGGCCTTAAGGAACTACGTTCATTTTCTTTTCAAACTTATTTATCAATCAGAAACTAAATAATTTTTCAAGTCAGTTATACTTCCTTTCATTTTGAACATTAATTGTATCCGACTGCAGTTATACCTGCTTTTATTGCCAATTATTATTGCGAAATATTGAATGTTGAGATTAGTCCTAAACATTAGCAATTAAATTATTTAATAAAAGTGGTCTGTATTCTGTCGAGACTGCCAGACGCGGATCGCGATTTCAATCTTTTTGGATCTCATCAGCGCGTCGCAGACAGCTCCGACAGAACACAGACCAACCTTTACCTGTTGTCTTAACAGCGCGTTTTAGAAAATACTACAAATGACGCGGTAAACGCCATCTGTAGTACGATGCTACATTTTAGGATTACGTATGCTCCAACAAGGTCCATTTAAATATATGGATATCTACTTGCTGAAACGAAACGAATCCCGGCGTAGCTAACCTCAACGTGATAGGCACGTTACTATAATCGAATAAAATAATTCGAAGTGGTCTGTCTGTGACGCGCTGATGAGATCCAAAAAAGATCGAAATCGCGATCCGCGTCTGGCAGTTTCGACAGAATACAGACCACTTCGAATTATTTTATTCGATTATGGTAACGTGCCTATCACGTTGAGGTTAACTACACCGGGATTCGTTTCAGCAAGTAGATATCCATATATTTGAATGGATTTTATAAAATTATTTGTTTTTACAAAAATTCAATTTCTTCAACTGGCAAAGGGTTGAAGGTTTTATCTGTCCAGATAATTTAAAGCCTTTTATTCTTAACCCATGATGCAAAAAAAGTCTTACAAGTTTAGATACATTGTGTATATCTACAAAGCTTTTCATTTTATAAGATTTGATAGGTTGTTCGATAGCAGAAATATATTATATTGAAGTACCTATATTGCTGTCCGAGAAGATTCAACACTGAGTCCATATTTTTCAATTTATCAGAGACGTAATCCAAAGACCATTCAAACAACTTTAAAGTGAGAAAGTTTCAGAGATATAAGTCTTATTTGTAGACCATTATTTTCTCCAAAACACAACCCCCATTATAGCACTTTCAAAATGGCTAAAGGGCGTCGTCTGGACGGAATTTCTTTTCCGTTAAAATAATGAACCCGTTTTGAGAAATCATTGCTGTTTTCATCAGAACGTTAGTAGTAAATATTATCTTGCAATTTATATTATCCTTTCATACTATGGAAGTACAAATAAATAAAATAAAAAAAAATATTTTTTTACTAAATTGTATAATTTAATTGGCTAATTATGTTTAATAGACAGTAATTTAGCCGGTTTTACAATGCTGAAGTTTCTAATAATTTCTGCGAATGGTCGCGGCGTCGGTGTATTCGGTCAATAAGTGCGTAATGAGCAGAACTTCCGCAGTTTCAGAAGCAGAAGAGGAGGCAGTTTTTACGTGATTTTTCTACCCTTATTTCTCGATTCTTCCGAAAGAAAAACGCATCGAATTACGAGTTAATTTGACTACTGTTATTTTTTATTATACTTATCACTAGGTACATACATTTTTGTTGTATCATTATTTGTTGCAATTTTACTTCAAAATCCTCTTACCTATTCTCTACTTCTTCTACTTATTTTTTTAAACAATTTGAGCATTTTTCAACATTATGAGTACAATAAAAACACAATTATAATAAAAACTAAGATAAGATAAATCTCCTCCTACTCAACTTTGATTCATCCTAATTCCTATTAATTATCAATTTCGGTGATGCCGAATTCCCTCCCGCAGGTAGTTTTGGTTGAAATATAGATAGTCGAATTCCCTCCCGGTTACTAGCCGAGTTCCCTCCCGTTCATATCAGCTCCGATAATTACGTTAACGACTACTTACCGATTTTATTTATCGAAAATAAATATATATTTATAGTACACTTCAGTACTTCAGTAAATTAAAGATAAAATAATTTCATAAAAAAAAACACATATCAGTTATGAAATGTTTATTTATTTAATTTTAAAATGGTTTCCCACTACCTTAACAAATTCAATGTTTGGAAATTCGTGTGCGTCTAGCTTTTTGATGCAATCATCTAGAAAAACTTTATTAGTTTTAGTTTGTCTTGTATTTGACCAATAGAAGGGTAGTCTGATAAAATTATTATTGTTATTGTGGTGTCTATAATATATGAATAATATTAAGATTAATATGTGACGTGAGGCTTTATTATTTAAACAACTCTTTATGACTTTATAGTGGCAATTAGCACTCAAGGTTATCCGCCACCGTTGGGAGGCAATTGATGTATAATTAGGAGGGAATTCGACATACCGAAAAATTAAAAACAGGTATATGGGAGGGAACTAGACATTATCCATCAATTTTTATTGATTTTTACAGAGGGTCGATCGTAAATGACGAACCAAAGACGAGAGTAACATCACGGAACTATAATTCGCATATACGTATTTATATCTACATATACCTATATACTTTTGTCTGTATATTGAGTAGTGGACTTCTTCAAAAGGCACTCAATTTATAGTTTATCAATTCCATTAGCAGTACAATGCAGCAGAAATGGTGTTCATTTACGGCTAAGTGCGCAGTATATTACATTATGTGCGGTCCATGACCCACGCAGTAGAGACAAATGGATAACAGGGCAAAGCTGCTGTTATTCTGTTCATTTAACCCTTTGTTAAGAGGGTCAGTTGTGTGATTTGGGAACGTTTACAGTCTAGTGAATCAAATCGGTGGCTGCACGTTTTCAGAGTTCGCTTTTAATCACTTTTCTAGAATTTTTACGCGATAAAAAAGGCCAATCAAATTCTCGAGCTAAAAAAAGAACCTACATTTTTTTGTTAGATTTAACCACAAATGAATACCTTGACGTTTTGTGAAATTTACTATCAAAAAAAATATTAGGAGAATAAAACTTGGAATCCCGTTGTACATTTGTCCTAATAAGCACGTGTACAGATCAATAAAAATCTTTATTTCCGCGTGTACGAAACCACTTCAAACCCAATTGCAAAAATTAATTTCTATTAGGAATCCTGCTTATTAAATAAAAACGGTAAAGGTAACGGAAGAACATTGTTTACATAGTCATTCTAAAAAAATTTAATGAAACCATTAAAAAATGGTAAATATATACATGTAATGGTGTCATTTAAAGTGGTTTTGGGACGCATTTTGCCTTTCCAAGTTATTGAGTTATTTTTCTATTGATAACTGAAAATGCTCCATAATTTCTATTCTATCTCCACCACCGTATGTTCTCTCCTTAGTGTTGAAAAGGCATTCTTAAATATATCCAAGATTTCAGTCACCATCAGAAATATTTAACGTGATCCTTCAAATAATTTCGGAAATAGTTCAATATAAAATCAAAAAAAAAACTGCTGCTGTTGCAATATTATGTTCTTCAGTTATATTTAAGCTCGTGGAGTAGATGCCAAAAGGTCTTTCTAAGCATTGTTTTTGTGGATTTCAAATTAATCGGTCGGTTAAAGTTAATATCTATGCTATGTTATGCTAATAGGTATTATAGGTATTATAAAAAAGTAAAATTTGTGATTTTCTACATATGTTTGGATGTAGGAGGTAATCTTCAAAACTAGCCATCTGATTTCACAAATTCTTCGATCACTATTTAGAACGGACTTTCCGGGTAGTCGTAAGCTGAATATTATTTCATTAAAATAAAAACCCTTTTAATGAACAATAATTTTGCAACGCAAGTCGACGAAAAAATAGTTTACAGATATAGTAGAAACACATCAGTAGAACTTTATACTATCCACATTAATTTTTTGATATGTTTTAGAATTTTGCGAAAGGTCCAAATGTGGAATCGTTCTAAAGTTTGCAGTACTTTGTTTACTAAAACTATACTTCTTTTTTTAAAGACTTGCAAATAATTTTGCATCCAATCAACTTCATAACCTTTTATATTTTGTAACATTTCCTGCTGACACTACTCTTTGATATTTTCTTTATAAAAATGCAACAGTACGACCTATCGCATGCGTACACAGTTTTGAAAACTTTTCCGGTGTTGATAGCACGGAGTCGAAACCAACGGACAATTGGCGTCAGTAGCGTAGCGACGCTCGGTGGAGTTGTTACGGCGTCGTCCAAGAAATTTAGCGCAACTATTACGCGAACGTAGGCAGATAAATGTGGTTGTCATCATTTTCGTTTGCGGTACAATTTCTCTTTCTTTTCTTGTAATTAAGAATAATGGAACTTTCTATTGGACAAAATTTAATCAAGTGGCCTTCGTCTCTGTAAAAATCGTGTTCTTGAGGAGATGAAGTGCAAGAGGTACAACTTTCCAAACCATTTCTTCACAGCGTTTCTATTTGCTTTAGGTTGGTACCATTGCATTAATTATCTTTTCATCATCACCGTCATCATAAGGTCGTGAGTCCTAAGACTGGCTCGACACGCACCTCCACTCTTTCCTATCCTGAGCTTTTCCCCAAAACTGGAACAACCAACATCCTTAACGTCCATATTTTGGAAATGTAGTTAAAGATCCTAAATAAACAATAAAAATATGTACTGCGAAGTCTGCCTTGCTTGCATTATAAATAATATTGCACTTCGAAAGAAAAGATAAATATTTTGTTTAGATTTGTTAATTCAATGTAATATTCCCAAAAAGTTACGAATTCACTTATAATAATCGAATGTGGCTGTAAACTCGAAATGTGCTTGTCAAACTTTCCATTTTTATAAAAATATATTGATGTCGTCAACAGTAGGTACAGGTAATTTATGGTGTTCTTAAAGAAGTAACTTAAAGTGATTTTTGAAGTGGGTCCCGCCAGTCGTTTATCCAAAGTTCCACATTTCGCAACTTATAAATAAACCTCAAGTGCTACGATCGACATGAGATGTTTGGATAGCAAATGTTGGAGTTGGCTTATTTGCATACAAACTTAGAGTTTGCTCTGGCGAATGTGTATGTAGACTCACTCTGTGGAGTCACTTTATTCGATTGGAAAGACGTGATTGGCTTTAAGATGTTACTATCTTGAGAAAACACTCATTTGCTTATAAGAGATGCATCCAAGGGAAACTTCGTACATGAATGTATAGAAACCCCAAAGATATAGTAAACCGACTTTTACAGTCCGTTGATATCTTTACAACCTTCCATAGCAACCGCACACCAGGAGAATTATTGAACACTAGATAAGTGGCTGAAGGTCGTCAGGGCCGGACTAATACAAATTTTAAGAAATAATTAAGTGTACGGTTTCTTAAACAATAATAAAAATGTGTTCACCCGCACAGTCTTGCCCCAAACACACTTTTTTAACAATCTTTTGTAACTTCTAAATTTGCCATTCACTAGCACAAAAGTGATTATATTGGTTTGTCTCTAAGCCTGTTTTTCCATCCTTCCTGTTAAAAACCAAAAATTGGATATTTCTCCTAGTTACCGTCTCCAATTGTTATTATTGGACCTAACCTATTTGTACACTTGATATAAATTATATCAGATTATATTCAATGAAGTATCCAGTTCTAATCCATATGAACAATTAATTCAAAGCATATATAATTGTTAAATTTACCAAATTATCCACTACTGTACCACGAATATAATAGCGCGATTAGGGCTTTTTAATTAAAGATACAATAAACTATAGTAGTAAACAAGCCAGAGTCCAATGTATTCCAGGATAACATGGCTTCTTCCTCATCGAATTCCCTTTTGTATTTGAGACAAGGCCATAATTAGTTTAGAGGTGTACTAATTATGTTCATATTACATTACGTACCGTGGTTAAGCAATTAACAGCACAAAGGTATTTGGTTGAAAGTTAATCTCAAGGAATTTTTCTGTAGGGCATCTGGGGTACTTCATGGTAGCAACACGATTTAATTGATTTACCATTGTAGTATATTTTTTTCACTGAAAGTGACCAAATGTCATACAAATAAGGTTGATCTTAGTAACTACCGTACTAGTTGAATTAAAGATAATTAAATTGAGGGTGTCGGTTTTCGCTAACATTCTTGGCTTCACCAGGAGATTAATATTGCAAATTAAATTTTTATAGGTATAATTAAAGTAACTGTAAACTTATGGAAATTAATTTTTTTTTCAATACACCAAAATTTAACGTAATTTTGTCACGATGGTTTAAGTGTAATTTACATACATATTTATATATATTNAAAGATTAGTATGCTTAGATTTGCAGATGATATAGCAGTATTAGCATCTAACAAGGAGGACGTAGAGATAGCTTTAAATAAAACGGAAGCGGTACTGACAAAACAGTACTGTATGAAAATAAATAAAAGTAAAACTAAAATACTGATATGCAAGGGAAGAAAAAGTAGGGAAAGAGCGAATATAAAGATAGGAAACGAAAAATTAGAAGAAGTGGCTGATTTTAGATATATAGGAATTCAGATAAGTCAGGAAGGAGTAGTAGGGATATAAAGTAGAGGATAGCGCAGGGTCGTGTCGCCTTTAATAAAAAGAAGTTACTTCTAAGCTCGCGAACGGTTAATTTATAAATTCGAAAAGGATTGTTGAATGTGGATGTTTGGAGCGCGGAGTTTTTGGGTGCGAAACATGGACAGTGGGCGCGGAAGAAAAGAAAAGGCTAGAAGCGTTCGAAACGTGGTATTATGGTTAGAAATGAAGAGGTATTACAATGAATAGGAGAACAGAGGACTCTATGGAAGTCAAAAGAAAATAGGCGAGATAGGTTGATAGGACACCTTCTCAGACATGAAGGTCTAGTCAGAGACATATTAGAAGCAGAAACAGGACTTAGGAGGAGTAGAGGTAGACCTAGATTAGATTACTGTTCGCAAATAGTTAATGATGTGGGTTGTTCTAATTTTAGGGAAATGCAAAGTTTCGCTCAGGATAGGAATGAGTGGAGGTACGTGTCCAAGCAGTCTTCGGACTGACAACTTTATGATAATGATAATTAGTTCCCATTAGTTTACAGTTACATCAATTATGCCTACAAAAATTTAATTTACAACATTGATCTCCTGATGAAGCCAGAAATGTTGACGGATATTTGAGAGTTAATATGTGTAACAGCTCATCGTTTTGTTCACAAGAGTTTACCTACTGACACCCTCACTTTGATTATCTCAACTGTCATACGTGTTTTAAGTTCTAAAAGAATTGTAATTAATAATGAGAAAAATTGTACGAAATTTCGTTTTAACATATTTTCACTTGTTACTTGATACTTATAAGTATTTGCACAAATTTCCCTAAATTCTGGAATGGTCACTATTTTTGGTAGAAGTTTACGCCACAAAGATTTACATGATCGATAAGTGGGTACGAATAAGGGGTTATCATCTATACATGTGTAGGTATAATATACATTTGTACGTATATGTATGTGCAACGAACGCTATTCATGTTCATCCGGCGTGTACTAATACCGTCGAATTTCGTGCATCCACAAGATTTTCTGACAAAAGGTGGAGCAGAAATGTAATATTTTAATGGGCTCTTTAGGTCCATCTCTCTCATTCAATATCATTTGGTGTGGTTTATTTACGAAACTTGCTTTGGATATCTCATATTTGAATTGACGGAAGAAATATAAATATACTTACGCCAAACTCAACTTTTCTAATCTGTTTCTTTTCGTATTAAATCTGCCCATCACATTATATTTATCAAAATACTTGTACGAATATAATGTGTTTTAATAATAATCCTAAATAGATTTCGCGATATGTTCTCTGAAAATTAAAACGACTGCTCTTTTGTGATAAATTTTGATTAGTTGATTGTTTTTTGCAAATATAATGTCAGAAGCAGGACATGCGATTGTTTTAATAAACAAGACTAAGACTCCTAAGACTGGTTGGACACGTACCTCTACTCTTTCCTATCCTGAGCTAATCTTCGCATTTCCCTTAAATTAGAACTACCCACATCCTTAACTATTTGCGAACAGTAATCTAACTTAGGTCTACCTCTACCCCTCCTAACTCCTCTAATATGTCTCTGACTAGACCTTCATGTCTGAGGAGGTGTCCTACAAACCTATCTCGCCTATTTCTTATTGACTTCCATAGAGTCCTCTGTTCTCCTATTCTTTCTAATACCTCTTCATTTTTAACCTTTTCTACCCATGTTATCCTCATCATTCGCCTATAACACCACATTTCGAAGGCTTCTAACCGTTTTTTTGCCGCCGTACCCACTGGCCATGTTTCGCACCCGTACACCGTTTGATTTTTATGTTCTTATTTATTCGTAGAATAATTTGACCACTCATACTATGATTTTTAAAAAACTTGAACCCTTCAGCTGTTAAGGATTTTAAGTGGAACAATGAAAACACTTTACAACACACTGCAAATGTGATCCATGTGAAGTTAGACGGAACCCACAGTCTTATGCCGCGTTCACACGGACGTTACATAATCGATACTGTTATTGCACATACATATGTAAATTCATACAGAAATAAAGAAATAAAGCTTTCCAAATAATTCTCTGTTTATCATCGCCCTGCATTATACGTTTTGCTGTCATCTGTTGGCATGTAAATATTGATTTTGTATGTACATCAGGTACAAAAGATTTATTACTTCTGTTGTGCCTAATTACGAAATACTATTTACCTATTCAAATGTAACCGCGCCTTAGCCTCCTGCATTAACGCCACTTATTATTAAATATTAAAGAACATTCGAAAAGTTCGTGTTTTGTGATGGAAGATTATTCCTTATTCTTGGTATAATAAGGAATTTTGTAGTTGTGCTTTATATATCGGGTTGTTCGGAAAGTCATTTCGTTTTTTCCCGACAGAGGATTTAATTGTATTCTTTTGCACCCAACTTCACATTTAAGCCGTATAATTTGTATATGCTTTGAGAGCTCATATAGCAAGGCGTGTGTGTGAAAAATTCCAATTAATTCTACGCAGTAGTTTTTGGTTGGTGCCCCTTTAAATATGGAGAGCGATAAGCAGCATTTTCGACATATCTTACTGTTTTACTACAGAAAGGGTAAAAATGCTGTTCAAGCCAGAAAGAAATTGACTGATGTGTATGGAGAAGGTGTGTTGACAGTACGCCAGTGCCAGAACTGGTTCGCTAAATTTCGATCCGGCAATTTTGATGTCGAAGATGCACCACGTTCGGGAAGGCCGGTTGAAGCTGATAAAGACGCGATAAAGGCATTAGTTGATGTGAACCGGCGAATAACAACACGTGAGATCGGATTGAGGTTAAATTTATCAAATTCAACAGTTTATGACCACTTGAAAGGCCTGGGATTATCCTCGAAGCTCGATGTATGGGTTCCCCATGTTCTCACAGAGAGAAATCTGTGTCGCCGCATTGACGTCTGCGATTC